CTTGAAAAGGATTTTATGAATTTGACCTCAAAGCCAGAGAAGTAATAGCTAAAATAAACGAATGGGACTACATCAATCCAAAAAGCTCAGCAAAAGAAATCATCAACAGAGTAAAGAGAGAACCATCCGAATAAGAAAACACATTTGCAAGCAACACCTTTGGTAAGGGCCTAATATCCAAAATATACAAAGAACTCATACAACTTAATAACAACAAAAAACAATTGATCCAATCAAAAAATAGGCAGAGAATCTGAACAGACACTTCTTCCTAGAGAATATACAAATGGCCAACAAATATATGAAAAGATGCTCAACATTGCTAGCTATTAGGGAAATGCAAATCAAAACCACAATGGGATACCATCTCACACCTGTTAGAATAGCTATAATCAACAGGACAAGTAATAATTGCTGGAGAGGATGCAGAGAAAAAGGAATCCTCATACAGTGCTATTGGGACTGCAAATTGGTACGGCCACTGTGGAAAACAGTATGGAGGTTCCTCGAAAAACTCAGAATTGATCTACCATATGATCCAGCAATCCCTCTACTGGGTATTTACCCTGAAAACTTGAAAACCCATATCCAAAAAGATATTTGCACACCGATGTTCATAGCAGCATTATTCACGTTGTCCAGGACAAGGAAGCAACCAAATCATGTGTCCTATGATAGATGATTGGCTAAAGAAGCAGTGGTACATATATACAATGGAATATTACTCAGCCATAAGAAGAAATGAAATACTGCCATTTGTGACAATATGGCCGGACCTCGAGATAATCATGCTAAGCGAAATAAGCCAGACAGAAAAAGTTGAAAATCGCATGATATCACTTATATGAGCAAGACAAACAGAGACTCATGGACATGGACTACAGACGAGTGGTTACGAGAGGTCATAGAGTAGTGGTTACTAGTGGGGTGGGGGAGGAGGAGGTAGGTAGACGGGATAAACGGGGTCAGATATAGTGGGAAAGGGGGAGGGTGAAGTCGGTAAAGGGGACCAAATATATGGTAGCTGAAGGAAACTGGACTTTGGGTGGTAAATACACAATAGAATATACAGATATCAAATGATAATGTATACCTGAAAATTATATAATTGTATTAACCAATGTTACCCCAATAAAGTTAATTAAAAAAAAAACAAAAAAGAAACTGAAGCGTTCCTCTTAAGGGACACCACGAGCCAACATACTCACTAAAGGGATCATTTGCTCTGGAGCTCCAGCACTGAGGCAATAGCTTGAAAGGTATGCCAGGCACATAGAAGGAGGAATTGAGTTGTCTGGCTTCAGGGCAAAAGTGGAAGGTCTGCTTTCTCCCAGACGGAAGTGCTGGCAGAATCCATTGTTTCTTTGTTTAGCCCTCCTTCCTCCCAGTGTGCAGACGTTGGTGGCCGCCATAGCCGTATCTGAGTCTCCACCATCCTGGCTAATGCTGGTCACCCAGGCCTGGTGAATCCCTGAGACCCTGTCCCACCCAATTTGCAGGCTGACCCAAGTCACTTCTAGTGGCTTTTCCATAGAAACAGCCTGTCTTGGCTTAAGCTATGGACTCTCCCAAAATCTATCAAAGGTTCACAAAACCCAAACAAGCAGCATCTGCCTTGTATCTCTTTCTGAGCAGCCCCAAGCCTGGCACTAGTGGCAGCCAGCCTCAGTTCTCAGCTTAGCCTCTCAAGACACCTCCAAACCCAGCACAGGTGGTAGCCATCTACGAATTGCTTGGTGACTCATGTCAGGTGGCCCTGAGCAGGGCACAGGCTGCAGCTGAACTTGGCCTGTGGCAAGTACCCTCTTATGAAGCTTCAAGGCTGGCACACCCAATGGCCAGGTTCAGATTAAGCCAGAGCACCACCTGGGGCCAAATTTGAGAACAACACACCCTCATGGCAAACTGGGCAGACAGAGCCCTGCTAAAGTGAATTCTGCTCCATAGAATAAGCCTCTGCACAACAGTTCCTCCACTATAGTCACTGACTAGCCCCCACAACCAATTAGCCCTAGGGTCAATCCGTCCCATTGATGTGCAAACAGCAACAAAGGCTCAAATATAACAGAAGAGCACATACTTGGAGCACATGGCTCAGGTGATCAGGAAGACTACACCTTTGGGCCCCACAGGACACCTACTACAAAAGGTCCAGGAGACATAGGAGCTCTACCTAAAACATAGAAACAAACACAGGGACGCAGCCAAAATGGGGAGACAAAAACACATTTCTCAAATGAAAGAACAGAACAAAGCTCCAGAAAAACATTAAACAACATGGAGACAAGCAATCTGCCAGATGCAGAGTTCAAAACATTGGTTATAAAGATGCTTGGTAAACTTAAGGGAAAAGTAGATGAACTCAGGGAGAACTTTAACAAAGAGTTAGAAAACATAAAAATGGAGTTAGGAAACATTTAAAAAAACAGTCAGAAACGAGAAATACAGTAACTGAAATGAAGAACACATTACAGGGAAATCAATAGCAGATTAGATGAAGCAGAGGATCAAATCAGCAATTTGGAAGACAAGGTAGCAGAAAACACCCAATCAGAACAGCAAAAAGAAAAAAGTTAAAAAATGAGGGAAAATTAAGAGATCTCTGAGACAACATCAAGCATGCCTACATTTGCATCATAGGGGTACCAGAAGGAGAGAGACTAAGAGATTGAGAACCTATTTGAAGAAATGACAGAAAACTTCCTTAACCTGGCGAAGGAAATAGACATACAAGTCCAGGAAGCACAAAGGGTCCCCAGCAAGAAAACCCAAAAAGGCCCACACCAAGACACATCATAATTAAAATGGCAAATGTTAAAGACAAAGAAAAAATCCTAAAAGCAACAAGAAAAAGGCAGCTAGTTACTTACAAGGGTACTCCCATAAAAATGTCAGCTGATTTCTCAACAGGAACTTTGCAGGGCAGAAGAGATTGGCATGAAATATTCGAAGTGATGAAAAGAAAGGACCTGCAACCAAGATTATTCCATCCAGCAAAGCTATCATTCAGAATCAAAGGGCAGATAAAGAGCTTCCCAGACAAGAGAAAGCTAAAGGAGTTCATCAAAACTAAACCAGTATTACAAGAAACGTTAGGGGGACTTCTTTAAAAAGAAGAAAAAAGGTGAAAATATGACTAATAAAATGGCAATGACTACATATCTATCAACAATTATTTTAAATGTAAATGGATTAAAATGCTCCAAAACATGGGGTGGCTGAATGGATGAGAAAACAAGAGACACACTTCAGATCAAAAGACACACAGAGACTGAAAGTAAAGGAGTGCAAAAAGATTGCAAATGGTAAATTTTCATTTTTTATGGCCAATATTCCATTGTGTATATATATATTCTTTATCCAATTGGAAATAAGTCAGAGAAAGGCATACCATATAATCTGACTTATATGTAGAATCTAAAGAATAAAATAAGTAAACAAACAAAACAGAAACAGACTCATAGATGCAGGGAACAAAATGATGGTTGCCAGATGGGGGGTTTAGGGGGCTGGATGAAAAAGGTGAAGGGATTAAGTAGAAACTGGTAGTTACAAAATAGTCACAGGAATGTAAAGTACAGCATAGGGAATATAGTCAATCATATTGTAATGCAGATACTAGACTAATTGGGGAGATCACTTCACAAATTATATGTCTAATCACTATGCTGTACATCTGAAACTAGTATAAAACAGTATCGCATGTCAGTTGTAATTGAAAAATTTTTAAAAAGAAAATGAAACTTTTTTAAAAAAAGATATTTCATGAAAGTGGGAGAGAGAAAAAAAAAGCTACAGTAGCAATACTTATACCAGCAAAACATACTTTAAAACAAAGGCTATAACAAGACAAAGAAGGGCCCAGTAATCCCACTTCTGGGTATTTATTCAAAGAAACCCAAAACAATACTTTGAAGGACTATGTCAATCTGTATGTTCATTGCAGTATTATTTACAAAAGCCAAGATATAAAGGCAGTCTGAGTATCCATCAGTGAATGAATGCATAAAGAAGAGGTGGTACATATATACAAAGGAATCTTAATCATAAAAAAATAAAATCTTTACATCTGCAGCAACATGGATAGACCTAGAGGGTTTATGCTGTGTGGAGTAAATCCGACAGAGAAAGACAAATGCCATATTCCACTTACATGTGGAATCTAAAGAACAAAATAAACAAACAGAAACAAACTTATAATTACAGGACATTTTGATGGTTGCCAGATGGGAGGAGTGTTAGAGTGGATGGGTGAAAAAGAAGGGATTAAGAAGTACAAATTGGTAGTTACAGAATAGTCATGGGGATGTAAAGTATAGCATAAGGAATATAGTCAATAATACTGTAATAATTATGTATGGTATCAGATGGTACTACATTTATTGGGGTGATCACTTTGTAAGTTAAGTAAATGTCTAATCACTATGTTGTACACCTGATGCTAATATATTATATGTCAACTGTAACTGAAAATTATTTAAATTATTTTAAAAAAGAAGACTGTAGAATACTCTATAGATTTTAAAAAGAAAAGAGAAGATCACTAAGTATGGACAGGAAAAATAAATACCAGCAAAACTACAAAACAGTACATAAAACACAACCTCTTTTTTGGTGAATTATATATCTGCATATAGATACAAAAGCAAAGAGGTACACACGTATGTACACACATTAGTATGGACAATTACTATGAGAAAAAAACTGAGGAGGCATATGAACCAACTGCCACAAACTGCTCACTTTCTACATTATGCACAGTGCATTAAATGGTTTATAATATACCTCTAATATTTTTGTTATCAGAAAAGTAAAATATTAAAATGTATGACATATGCATTCAGTGATATTACAGTAGAAACTACATGTAATACTTCTAATACTCACTTGTGGTCCTTGAAAATGTCCACCAGAAAATTTTGGTTAATGGCTGGAAATATCTTAAAGAGCTGCCTCTCTTTTAGTTTAGTAGCACAATCTTTGTCAAACATAAGTGGCTCCCTTTTCTAAAACAAACAAAAAAAGACAAAAACTATCCTTAAAATGAATTTATAATACTAATTATACTGACCCAAAGCATGGTTATTTGTTGCAAAAAGACTAACAATTTAAAAGCAATCACAGACTTTCTTCATAGATTAAAGGCTGAAATTAGTAATATAAGTATTTTTGCACTATTTATTTATATCCCATTTTTAAAAAGTATTTGAAGCTGCTCATAAATATATATACACATACACACACACAACCACACATATACATATATATGTATGTGTATGTAAATATATATACATATCTACTCACATATACATATATATAAACAGGATATAAATAAGTGAAGTCAGAGAGTAGAGAAAAATAAAGGTAAGATACAGTATAAAGCTAGCAAGAAAAATTAGTATGTAAATGCATGCCACAAAATCCTGTACAATTGCTTAAGGTGGGCCACAAATTCAGTTCTGAGATTCTTAGTGGCCAAAGCAAAGGGGGAAACAAAGATTCTCAGTGTCCATAAAATAAAAACAAACCAGTTGCTCAGGAGAAGTACAGCTTTTTCTGGTACTGAGACCTGAGAGAAATTTCTCCCATGGGTCCTCATAAAAGGGACACTGTGTGATGCTGTGAACAACGTCCTCAAAAACATATTCTCCTCAATGGGCAGAAACTACAATGTACAAATAAGTTGCAAATTCAGGTTGACAGAAAATCTTAAAATTCACAGTTTTTAAAATTTTCACAAATATATTTACTTCAAAATAAATGTATGAGAATTGTTACTACTTGTTATTTTTTCACAAGTCATATTTAGAGCTGTTCAAATTGCCAAACCAAAAGAACTTTTACAAAATGTATTATTTTAATCCTAACCTAGGAATATGGTAAACATTCTTAAAGTGATCTCTAACTCTAAGACAAATTTGCTGATACTGTGATGTAACTAAATAATATTCTTGTTGGCTACTAATCCTAATGTCTGAAAAATAACTTCCTATCAAATTTCAAAGGTGACTAGAAATTCCTAAATTAAAAAATTTCATAAATCTAGAACAATCCTAGAATAGTTATTAGTTTTGAAGCCTAACCATATTTAGGCCATTTATAATAACAAGTTATAACAATAAAAGAAGAACCACAACAGATGAACATTTGACCAGTAAAAGGGATTGGTAACGCTCAACACATCACACATCACAAAAGTAATAGAAACAGTCACCTCAAGAATTAAAAATATTTCGTTTTATTTAAAATATGCATTATAATCTGAATTTACCAAAAAAAATTCAGTGATCAGATTTGCTAGCAAACTACCAAGTCACAGAGTTTCTAAACTTCAAGTTAAAAAAACTGAAAACTCATGACTCTAATCATCTTAAAATTAATTATTCTATTCACACATTATGCCTAAAGTTTATTTTATAGTCTTTTGCTTTAAAAAAATACAAAATGTATTTCTCTATTGGGACCAAAAGAATACAGTCTCTATTAACCAACCCACAGAAAGCAAAGCAAATTCACTGACAGAAAAAAAAGTACATTAAGTTGGGAAGTCAAAGATGCTCACTTGTTTACTATTATACTGAGAGATTAAAAGGCAGGTTAGAACTATGAAGATAAGTTTCAGTAGTGGAAAATGGCATTTCAACAAAAAATACGTCACATTATTTCGGTATAAAGTTCTAGGCTATCCTTATTTTTTAAGAAAATCCATTTCTCCAATTTGTTATATATACAAATTAAAGAGGATATTTGAAACAACACTAAATTATAAGATCCTACTGAAGAGATTGTTCCTTGGATTATATAAACATGCAAAAATGGGAATGGTGGCATATTTCCAATTTAACCAGATAACTGAAAAAAAAAAAAAAATGAAGGTGAAGGAATCCTATCACTGTTACTACGCCCCAAAATTCTATGTATTTCAACCAAATATAAAGGTGTTCCTTTGAGCAGTCAAATGAGTAAGAAAAAAAAGTAAAAATGTTTTACTAAAAGTTATTTTTTTCCGTGAGAATTGCACTAAATAAACTTTAAGGTCCTCTCTCTTCTGATTTTTAAACTAATACTAATTTTTAGAATTCCGAAAAAGGCTAAAAAGAAATGCAAAAGAAACCATATTCACTTATGGCTTTATGTAGTTAGGTATGTTGAATAAGGAACAAAAATAAATACAGTTCGAAATAAAGTGAAGTTTGTTTGAACTTATTTAATTGAAAGGGCAGATAAGAGTATTTTATTTTTAAATTCAAATTGTTAAATTTCTAAAATTTTCTCTAAAAAACCTGTTTCAAGGATGGACACTTCTTGAAGTCAGACCCACTACCATTGTGGCACAAGGGCACAAAGACTGACACTTCTTAAATACCAAGAAAGACATTTCTTATTACTAATTTATGATGAAATTAATTATCTTTAAATGAAAGAGTTCTTCCAGGTTTCTAGAATTTAAAAATTACATAAATGTTAAAAGTTAAGAAATATGCAGCTCAATCACCTGAAAAATTAAATCTAAAACAACACATTTAATATAGATTGGTTTATAGTTGTAGAATATCAACTTATTTCCCAGGAGCAAAAACCTCCAGCTTTAAACTATGTTTAAAACATTTTTCAATTTTAACAATACTTCAAACAGGTTACATACAGACTCCAGACTAGGAAATATAGAATCGAATAAAAATCACGAAGCAAACATACATAATCAACCTAGAGCCAGTAATTCATACCATATTGTGTTTTTCCTGTAAGGCAATTTCTTCTGACATTATTTCTCTGAGTGATACTTTTTTAGTTTGAGTATTCCAATGATCCATTTCAGATGTTGCTAAAGTCTTCAGTAATTTTTTGCCTGTTCTCTGAGATTTTTGTTCAGTATTATCAAGATCAATATGCTCAACCATGGAAGGGTCTACAAAAGAGGGATAGTGTCAGACCCTCAAGAAAAAATGTACAAATTATACATTATACACTGTTACATCTACCTCAGAGAGACCTAGGAAACCTGGTTTTTTACTTTTAGCTTATAATGAAACTCCGAAATTTCAAAATACATCTTTACATAATTGCAAGCAAGAAATGATGTGTAATGTAGGAATATTTCAACTGAGCAATGATCCAGGTATCACTGTAAATCGACTCAATTCTTCCCACTCTTTTTCTTATCACATCAACACAGAAAATAGTGAGCAAATGATACTCAACATAAGGAACTGAACATTCTAAGAAATTCACAACAACAGGATTTAATGTGTAATATTTCTGCTGAGATATCAATACATTCTCATATATTCCTTTGCTTTCCTGGAGCGTCAAAAAACAGCAGATACTGTCATTTACACAACTCTGATACCCCATGGGCACTTCTAGCTCTCAAAAATCTTTAGCTATTGATGCTACAACACAAGCACAGGTCCGAAATAAAGCATATCCTAAGAATTCTCAAACTGCAAGTCCCAGTATGGAGTGGACATCTTATGTGTTCTACTTCACTCATGAAAGCTAAATATTACAGAGTTTTTTTCTTCTTTATGAAAATAAGAATTTTAAAAGAACTTTTACTTGTAAGTGGAAATTCTTGGGTATCATATTTTGTGGAAGTGTTAGATAGGACAAAGGTCTCAAGGTCTGGGCAGTTCTTACTAAATGCTACTCTTGATAAATGTTAAAATGTAGCACAGTTTTTTTGCAGATGCAACTGTAAACAATAATGAGCTTGACAGTAACCCAACCTGACAAGTTTAGCCAATTGCAAAGAAGAAATCAACATGTCATTGATCAAACAATGCATGTAAACAATGACTAAGCCTCTCTTAAGAGCTTCGGATGTGAATTCCCTGTCTCCTTTACTTGCTGCTACCTAACACAGACAACCACATCTGGTTCTTGAATAGAACATCAAGCATCAAGCCCCTTGAGTTTGGTAACAGATGTGTATTTAAAATAAATTAAAGTTCATACACACACCACCAAGTTTCAATATCAAGACGAGATCATTAGAAGTAAAAATAATGTGCTTTACCTTGTGTCAACTTGCCACAGGATACCTCTGCTTGTCTTTGTCGCTCCTAAACAAAAACGCAGAACAGGATTAACAAAGGAGGGTGCATTAGAAAACAAGATTATATTATTTTTCTCTAGAAATCATCTCTCCTTGTAAAACTATCAATCATTTTTCTAAAATCTGAAGTAAAACAATAAATTAGGTAAAATAAATTACAACTACATCGATATATTTTTTCCACTTATAGAGCTCTTATGCTATGTTTTTAACAAATTTAATCAGTACTGCAAGTCTTAAAATAGGGTATAAAAATTATTTACGATTCTTTTCCTTAAAAAAAAAAACATTGAGCTCCACCTCTGATTACATAATTTAGTTAGTTTAGAAATAATCTACAATACTGGAAAGAAAAAAAATCAGTAATCTGTTAAGAGATAAAAGTTCATTCTCAAAGTCAAAATTCAATAGAATTCTTTTCATATAACAGATTTGATTAAAGGTAACAAAATGGACACAAAAGGAGCTCTTTATAAAAAGAAGCCTACCAACCATTACAGATTCTTTCCATTTCTCATGAATCACTTTAGCCAGGTTCAGATCTATATGAACCACACAATCCTCAACTGTTAGAGACCCTTGTAAGGGGGGAAAAAAAAAAGAAAATATAATCATTACTCATTATACATGCAAAAAACATACTCAACCATTTTATGCATCATAATTCCAATCTGTATTATTAATGTAAGGAGGAGGCAAGAGAACTAAAGTATTAAATCAAGCTATATTCAGAGACTGCAATATGGTGGTGATCAGCCCTACAGCCAGATCACCCAGATCATGAGAAAATCTGCAAAACAGAGTTCTGCTGAAATTACTAACAAACTGTTTACTACACCATGAAAAGAAAAAGAGTCTTTAAGTTGTACTCTACGCAAAATAAAATCATTCATTCTTTATGGCTAAAACCATGGGGAACCTATGGATCAAAGGCTTGGAATGGCCAGTAGGCCTTAAACGCTACATACTCTTACCTTTTTTTGCTACATACTCTTTATCCTTTTCCACTGTATGTTCATACCATCAAAGGAAAATGGGTAAACAAAGTCTTTAAACTTGTAATTTATAGAAACTAAGAATGATATATGTAGGGTTAACTCAGAACATAGCCCCTCCACATACTCAGAAGAGTGAAAGCTGCCCGGCCAGCAGCCAAGGAAGGCAGTGCACAAAAAGCTTTCAGCAGTGCCTACTTCCAAGGATGTTTTCTGCTGCTCCCATGGACATCATCTGCTCCTGTAACCAAGCAGCACATCTTGCTGCCATCCATCTGAGAGGGCGGCTGCTCCCCCAGTGAGAAAACCCCTCCCTCTATTTGTGTGCATAATAAAACTCTGCCTGCTCTTGGTCAGCGGCTGCTTTTTTCCTGCAGCTCCGACTGACTGCTGCTAAAGCTTCCCTGCCTTGTGAGTAATAATTAAACGGCATTTCTCACTCCTCTGGTCCTCCTGGTGGTTCTTCCGGAATATCCAACCCAGGCGCAAGTTCCAGGCCTAGGGCTCCTGCATTACAATATATAAACTGAATTTCCTAAACACTCGGGTTCCCTCTCACTGTCTCCATCGCTCCATTGTCTGTCCCTCTGAGTCTCTCTTAGGCTCTTACTCTTTGTCTCTGAGAGGAGACCACACTATGGAACATTTCCCTTCTCTAAAAAAATTTTCCTTTTGACTCTAACTCTGGCATGCATTTGAATTCTTTCTTATGCTTAGCCAAGAACTGTCTCTTGGTGCAGGACATGAGCTGCCCCAAACTTGGGGGAATTTGTGCTGTCCTCTGTTATTATTAATTACTAACCTATGTTTCTAGTTCTAAATCTCTTGTAATATTTTTATGTAATATGTCATTGTTTTCACACTTCTTGGTTGATGCACTTATACAATACTTCATATATTTAAGCTATTCATGTCCATTAGTCTAAATAAATTTATTCATTTCCATTAGTCAAGACTTTTCGAAAAGTGTATTCTAAAAAATTAATCTTGTCTTAGATGCATCTGGAGTAGCACCAAAGGGTTCAAAAAGGTTCATCTGTGTAAATAGGTATGAGGTAAATACCAGAGAAAACTTTCAATATATGCATGGGATAAATAAACTTCACATAAATACTAATTCTTCATATTACATTTTTTAAAATCCTCTACAAACATTTTATCAAAAATAAGGTAGGAGACACAAATTAATTTTATATATCAGTTAACAGATGAAATAATTAAATTAAAATTAAATTAAAATACTCATTAACATAAAAACACACATATAGGTGAATTTACTTTTTCCTTACCTGAATCAATACCAACAGGACCAAATAATTCATTAAGCTGAAAAGCCAGTTCAGGAGGTAATGCCAATTCCAGACAGTCAATGGTCAGAGATTTAGCCATCACTGGAGTGGGATTCATCATCTCAGTTTTGCCTTCTTCACTAACTCCAGCTGACATAGTACTACCTGCCATTAGAACTTTTTCCATTTTCTTTTCATCTTCATTCATAAACTCTTCAGTTTTTGGAAATTTCACATAATTCTTTGGAAGATTTTCATTTTTCTTTATTTCAAAAGAGTCAGTAGAATAAATTTCTTTTAATTCAAGATCTGATGTGCTCGATACAGAGTTTAAAATATCAGACAAATTCAAAGAATGCATACTATCTCCAATTTCTATGACTTCAAGATTCTTCTCCATTTCACTCACATCTTTAACTTTTAGTGTACCTGAAAAAGACTGATTGTTATATAAACCTGAAAGTTCTGCCTGACTATTAGGAATCACTTCATTAGTATTCTTTAGGTCTACAGTGGCACCAGGAAATACACATGTTATTAATCCAGGTTTTTCAGTGGTTATAGCTCTTATTTCTGCCTGCTCTGAATTTCCCTTTTCTGAGTAACAGGAAGACTGTACATTAGTGTCAGTGATACCAACTGCATGTCTAAATTCTGGCACAGAAGAACTAGAATCCTTTAAGATTCCTCTTTGGTTAATAATTTCCTTTAAATTCAGTCCCAGAGAAAATGGTCCAATTTGTGCTTCATCATATGATTTTTGGATATTCTCAAATTCAGTATCATCACATAATTTAGTTTCAGAATCCAACAAAAGGCTTGTGGCCCAAATAATATCTTTGTTACACCTCTCATATAAGTCTTTTAGGGCTTCTAATGAAAAGGATCCAAATAGTTTACAAAGAATGTTAAGATTTTCAGATTCATCAGTACTGGTAAGCTCACTTTCTTCAACAAATGTGCTTTTATCATACATTACCCTATATGGAATTGTTTCTTGAATATCTAATTTTGTGTTAATATTGAAAGCTTTTGGGTTAAATCCATCTAATCTTCCTGTTAATACTCTCACTGAATCAGAAACACTAATTTTATTCTTTTCTATTTTCCATAAGAGAGCAAAATCCTGTGGTTCAGTCTGGGTACACATGCCTACTTCTATTTCAGGGACTTCTTTAGGCTTTCCTTCTGGAAATTCAGTTAAAGTTTGTGGTCTTACTACTCCAGGAATAGTTGGAGCACTATTGATAACAGTAAGAGACAGTGTGTATTGACCATGAATCTTTTCACTTGGACAAGTCTTATTCTCACACATCATTTCACTGGGTAGCATTTCAGAATTTCCTAGAATACAGCTACCCAACGTTTTTAGTTCTTCAGGGCTTGTGCTCCAACAGGCCTCATGAGTATTGTCATTAGTTCCAAATTCTAAGTTGGGTTCATTTAAACCAGACTTTGGCATTCTTGATCTGTGTTCTCTCTGGGCTAAAGAATCAGACAAAGGCCACTCACCCACAATGTCCAATGAGTTTTTTTCAGTATTTTTATAACTATCACAGTTATAGCTACCAAAAGATTCTGAAGCATCATCACACTGTGACTTCTTGTCATCCTCTACACTTTCATGTGGAGATACTCCTTGCTGGATATGATCCACATTTACAGACAGACTATTATCTAATACTTTGCATGATGGAGAGATATTACACTTTTTGTAACTTTCTACAGATGAAGCTTTTTCAGTTTTTCGGTTCCTTTTTGTCCTCTGACCAAAAGTCTTATCAACTGGCCAATCACCGACAAAATTTGATAGCTCATGTCGTGGGAACTTTTCCAAAGTTGATTTGCTTTTTTGTTTTCCAAAGGCGTTTTTCTTTACCATTGCTTTTTCTTCCAGTATTTCACCAGGTGAAGAGTTTTCATTTTGAAGTGATATAGAATTTGAAAGATCAAAGACTTCCTGATTATTTTCACTGTAGCTAATATTAGGTGGCATTCTCTCTATAAAACTATCTGCATCAGTTTTATTATACTCTTTTTCAGAGACCATTTCTACTTGCTCTTCTTTTTTACTTTTGTCTGTTACTTGTACTTTGCTTTCAGAATCAGAAAAATACATGTCTGAAACTTCCTGAATGAAAGCACTCTGAATATGAGGATTCATTCCACTTCTTTCTTTTCTTTCTTTGTTTAAATAAGCATTAGAGAGACATGTAACATTCTCCAGTAACATAGTTTCTTTGGTCACTTCAAGTGTCTTCTCTTCACTTAACTCTATGTGCTTCAAAGATGAGGAAAAAACATTTTCTTCTTTTTCAGAGGTAGTATCTTCATTCTCTCTTGGGCTGTAAGATTTTTTTTTTAAGTATTATAAGGAAGTCTCTCAATGTTACCATTAATATTATGATTTAAATTAAAGAAGCATTCAACTGAAAGACAGGGCACTTAACATTTATTTATTCTAAAACTTAACTCTATGTGCTTCAAAGATGAGGAAAAAACATTTTCTTCTTTTTCAGAGGTAGTATCTTCATTCTCTCTTGGGCTGTAAGATTTTTTTTTTAAGTATTATAAGGAAGTCTCTCAATGTTACCATTAATATTATGATTTAAATTAAAGAAGCATTCAACTGAAAGACAGGGCACTTAACATTTATTTATTCTAAAA